CCGGACTTATGCCATTCTCTTGAACCAGATAGTATCCACGTGTTCTGATGTATTTGAAGAATATATTATGAATTTAAAATGTTGCAAAAGTTAATTAGGTTTTGACGATTATAGTTTTGTTTATGTATTATAATTAATTCAACAACTTTTCAATAAGAATTAAGTTGTTCATCTCTGATCCTTACATTAAAATCTTCCATAATTGTAATCATATTACGTTTCAGCAACTTGTCGATGGTTAATTTGAGGTGCTTTGTGAAATTTTTCTCAACCCATCATTTCAGCGGCATCATCATTAGATGAATTAACGGCTACACTTCCATCAGTTTATGCCGAAGTCTCGCGATGACAATTCTTGACCTCACTGACTCTCATTCCGCACCGGAACCACCTTATCATCAGTTTTCCTAGAGAAACAGTTATGCCCCGAACTGTGGTTATTTGGTCCCAAACTAGGCCAAAACCTAGTTAACTTTTGCAACATTTTAAATTCATAATGTATTCTTCAAATACATCAGAACACATGGATACCATCTGGTTCAAGAGAATAGCATATGTCCGGTGCTGAATTAGTGGATGGAAAATTCAAAACAAGTATTGAGAAACTATTGAGTGTATCGACACTGATCGCCATTTGCCATGAAAAAAAAAAATTAAAATTCGTCGAAAAAGTCGACAAGAATAAATTAAAACTAATGGCTGCAATTAGATCAGATTATGATTATTGTAATTAGATAACAATATTCCGTTAAACTTCTTCCAGGAAGATATAGATACACTGATCCATTCTACAATCAATTCTAATATCAACTGCTGAAAAATGCCAAGATGCCGTATCAACAGTGAAAGAGGCAAAGCATCAAACATTTCATTCCAAAAGAATTTCTCTATTGGTAATGATAATCAAAGTTTTGGAAGAATAATTTTCAACAAAATCTGAAAAGGACTTGACAAGCAATTCTTACATCACTACGCTAAATTTCGAGCTGAAATAGGGACAATAGATCAAGTTTGTACACTGAAAATGGTAATACAATGAACAAGAGAACGTAATCAGCTAGTACAAATGTGTTTCGATGATTTGAAATGTGTATATAATTCCATCAATCGAGACGCATTCTGACATGTGGGTTGAGATATATTTGGAATTAACTGATCGCATGATACGTCTGGTATGAGTCATACGAATGAAAAGCCTTACGTTTGGACGTTTTTCAAAAATAAATATTTTGTTTAGCCTTTTGACTGTACAGAAATTGCATGATCAACATTGAAGAACATACTTAGATTCCTTAAGATGTTTTAGACTCCAAAACTCTTGGATATGGCTTTGAAACTCAGCCAAGTAATATAAATGCAAGAACAGACGTAGTTTAACTGTAATTTCAAAAGGTCTTCATAATCTTACCTTGACATGCTTGTTGGAGAGAACGAACTTCATTATCGATAACTTTTTGAAAGTGACCATCGTCAACGCCGTCACGATAGACAACAATTTTCGTTGGTAATTGTTTGTTTCTTTGTCCAAATACTTTCAATAGATCCTCACACATTGGTCCAAAATTTTTGATTATTTCCACCGAATATTTTGAGTTATTTTTGGGTGCCTGAGTTGCCGATCGTGCCATGTAAAGCGTTGAGCATGGTGATCGACTGGCAACAACTGCGGCTATTGATGGATGTTTCGCTGAGATAACTTTGTGTGTAACATCCGCGCCAATGAACATGAAACAATCATCAGTCGCTCTTTTAGTTGTTGACAAATTAAACAGTTGCTTATAGTTAATAGTTGAATTGATGCCACCCATACGCGCGTTTAAAGTTTGGGAAAAGTTAAGTAAATAGTTTTCAATATGTTTCTCGTTCTGCGAAAATCTCTTTATATTTGCGAAGTTTGAACATTGAACGGGTATTCCAACTTTTTGAAGTGCACAACATTTGATATTTTCATAAACTTTTTTATCAACATTATTCAACACAAACAACACATATTGGTAACCATTAGATTTCAGATATGTCAGACAATTGAGAATCGTCGTTTCCGCAGTGTTAATTGCATCATCATATGGCTTAGATAGAAATCGAATACCGAATCGTTGAACAATCTAAAACAAATACATATATATCAGATTAATTATCAAAATCAGTTTACGTGTGATCCGAGAGACAACCAAGTGAATAAATTGAATGTCTATATTAGATTCAATTTCTGGAGTACTTCAGTGCTCAAAGACGTCATCTCAAATATCGTCCTTTAAAACAGAGGATAATAGTTGCACTCTAACTCTAGCTACGCATCAATAATTGTCTCTATTGTTATGATCTATTTTTCTTCGATAGAAGGACTTATATACAACTCAGAGAAAGCTCTTTAACAATTGTGAGAAAATATCATACAGGATCCTCAGATGATTTACGAGAGTGAAAGTAACTTTTCAAAAATTCTGCAGTAGTCCGGTACTGAATAGTTGAGATTCATTTAGCCTAAACATTTTATTGGATTTGATGACCGCGAAGTAGAACCATTCAAAAAACTTTGTCAGAAGAACCCCTGAGATCTCCAGCTCGTACTACGATCGATCTGTCCAACTACAGGGTGATGCATAACCTTTTGCTAGGGGAGTACAGCTCCAACGACAAATGATATAAAAATGGATTACATACCAAATAAAAGCTCATCGAAAACGGGATTAAGAGGTATAACTGGTAATCCATACGTTGATTATGAGCTATAGAATTATGGAAGTTTCTATCTGGAGCGTCGTAACGAATGATATTTTCTATTTTTCTCGTGTTCTTTTACGATCCTAAGATTAGTGTTTCTTTCAAAAGATGCGCCACGAAATACTGTACAAAACCATATTCAAACTTTAGTTTTAGACCTTCAATCAAGAGAACTATGTAAATTATATGAAAGGTGGAAAAACTGAAAACTTCCTAAATTTGATATGGCTTTTGACTAGAACTTTTTTCTTCTGCTAACATTTCCGTAAAAAGTGTAGCAAAAGTGAGCAGTCGGTTCTTATTGTATATTTGAATATGCTCTTTCTCGTGGT